AGTGTCAGTCCTTCCTGGATTACGTAAATGCTGTTTTGTACAATGTGCCGACAATGGAATTCATAGTCCTGACGGGATTACAATTTTCACATTGGAACAGACATTAAAAGGTGAAAAGATGTGATCTGGATGAACGGCCCTACCATCCTCGGCAATAGCGACATGAAATTGTCGCGGTTTTGTGCAAGCAACGGACTGCCTGTTATGACTACCATTGAGCATCTAAATTTGCATCGGTGTACTTCGTATATAGAAGCTTGTACACAAAAGACGATGATCTATTTGATGATTGTATCGCCTGACCGACGACTCTCCGTAATGAATGTTTGCGTTGTCAGCCAACCATCGCCTTGTCGTTGGCACCCTGTGCTGCAAGTGATGGAGTACCATCAGAAGTATGGTGGCAATAGCAACCACAGCACCATGAAAAGCAACTAAAAGCACTATCTTCTGCTAATGTGAGGGCGAAATTTGAAAAAATAAGTCGCGCGAGGTTTGAACAAAACCACGTGATGACCGCTGTCGCGGAAACCAAGTAAATGCACTTTAAGAGCGGCTTATTCGGGGCTGCAGCCAAATGCTGCAGTTTAAAACGGATTCGCCCACCGCCTGAGGAGTAGAAACGAACTTCCTGTTAAAGCCGACAGGTTCAACTGTCAAATAGTGAGAAGGCTGCATTCAAGAGGTGACTCAAGCAAAGAGCATTACACTCGACTGTTGTCGGACGAAGTCAACAGTGCGGTGTCGAGAGCAGTTGACAAAGAGAAATTTGACTCCTCGGATCTTTTCAGGGGGTGTTAACTGTCAACAAGCTGTTGGTCTTTCTTTCGCTCTGTTGTCTTTCTTCAGTCCTGTTTCGCACTTTGGTTTTTAACACTCCTCTCTTACAGTTCAACTTAAAGTAGCATTTGCAACATTCTGGAAAAGTTCTTTGATTTCCATACGTTTAGTTCTCGCTCTCTGTCGATGTTACAGTCTGCAAATCCTTCGGGAAATCTAGCAAACA